AAATGGAGATTTTGTAGTATCGTTCCCCTGGAGTGGGGAGGGAATGGAGATTTTGCAAATTCCTTCCCCTGGAGTGGGGAGGGAATGGGGATTTTGCAGTATCCTTCCCCTGGAGTGGGAGGAAATGGAGATTTTGCAGTATCCTTCCCCTGGAGTGGGAAGAAATGGAGATTTTGTAGTATCGTTCCCCTGGAGTGGGGAGGGAATGGAGATTTTGTAGTATCCTTTCCCTGGAGTGGGAGGGAATGGAGATTTTGCAGTATCCTTCCCCTGGAGTGGGAAGAAATGGAGATTTTGTAGTATCCTTCCCCTGGAGTGGGGAGGGAATGGAGATTTTGCAGTATCCTTTCCCTGGAGTGGGAGGAAATGGAGATTTTGCAATATCCTTCCCCTGAAGTGGGGAGGGAATGGAAATTTTACAGTATCCTTCCCCTGGAGTGGGGAGAGAATGGGGATTTTGCTGTATCCTTCCCCTGGAGTGAGAGGAAATGGAGATTTTGCAATATCCTTCCCCTGAAGTGGGGAGGGAATGGAAATTTTACAGTATCCTTCCCCTGGAGTGGGGAGAGAATGGGGATTTTGCTGTATCCTTCCCCTGGAGTGAGAGGAAATGGAGATTTTGCAGTATCCTTCCCCTGAAGTTTGGGAGGGAATGGGGATTGTACAGTATCCCTCCACTGGAGTGGGAGGGAATGGCGATTTTTCAGTATCCTTCCCCTGCTACGCCCACCATGACACGCCTATCAAACCATGCCAAGCCCACCAAGCCATGCCCACAAAACCGGTAGTAAAATAGTTGAATCCCACCACTGATTTAAATGGTACTATCATTATTAGAATTGGGTTCACCGACAAATGCGTGCCCGACAAATGCATGCCCGACAAAAGCGCACCAACAAAACCGCGGCGAGAAAAGAGCGAAGTCTAAATCGCGCCCACAGAAGTGCGCCGATAAATGTGCGCCGACGAAAGCGTGCTATCAACAAACCACGCGAAAACAAGGCAATAACCCTAACCCTAACCCTAACCCTAAACCTAACCCTTAGGGTTATTACCTTGTTTTCGCGTGGTTTGTTGATAGCACGCTTTCGTCGGCGCGCATTTATCGGTGCACTTCTGTGGGCGCGATTTAGACTTCACTCTTTTCTCGCCGCGCTTTTGTCGGCGCGCTTTTGTCGGGTGCGCATTTGACGGGTCACGTTAGAATTGTGGGTAAAGTATATTGACCCAGACAATATACACTGTTCACCAAGCACTTTTGGATGTTAAAGAAAAAATTATAAATAAAACTGTTTTTTTTAAATAAATAAAAAAGACCTTTCCTCAAACTTCAGAAGAGTTTGCCAGTCCAAGAGTCATCAATCTGGATTCCACCCATGAACAACAAGTATGCATTTTCTGGTCCCCCTTCTCGTTAAATCATATTTGACCCATTTACACAAAGCACATTCATCGCACAATCCTAGAAGGTCCACTCAGAAAATAAATAAATCTCCTTGTGCTCATCAAGTCCACCAGCTTGGGAGCAATACTTCAAGATAATAGATCTCACCAGGTAGAGTGTGCTGACAAGAGCAGAATCAAACGAGGCCGCTAAGGGTAGGGGAAGCAATCAGTGTGTGGCTTGCAAAAATGCACACCTAGTCTTTGAAAAGGGGAAATCTGATGGCTGATGCTCCCTCCATAGCATTGTCCACCTGCAGCATTCTTTCGGATTTGACCCAATGGGAACTTGCAAAGCATCCCTGGCCTGCTCTCGAGTTGCCATAGGCAGGGAGGAAACAAAATTTGCAGCTGCCACAAGGCAGCACCTCGGTCAACACAGAAGCATATTCCAGTGGTCTCTCTGTCAAGGCTGTCTCCGCGGTTACCCACTGTGGCTGGAGGGGAGTGATCACTACAACCCGCGAAATTGCTTCGTTGGAGAATGTGACTGATGAGCCACTTTGAGGGCAGTGGGGAGTCAGGGTCAGAGCCAGAAAGTAAATTACGTGGGGTCAGAGCTGGCTTCACTTGGGAACCTACTGACATGAAGGTCCTAATAAATAACTGGATTTCTTTTGAAGCTTGGCTTGAGGCTCATGATTTAATTAGGGCATCTGTCGGAACCCTGACACAGAACTTGCTTCTTGCTCGCAAGTAGGACTTGGGGTATCTGTTCTCTGCTCCTTCTTTCTTGTCTTTGGATTATGTCCATGATCCAGAATGTCAATGCAAAGCATCCCTGGCCTGCTCTCGAGTTTCCATAGGAAGTGGGGATGGGAAACTGATGAAATGACATGGGAGCAAAAGGCAAATGCACATTCCAGACTTATCTGTCTCAAGGCTGTATCCCAGAGTTACTGACAGCGGGCAGAGGCGAGTGATCTCTACAACCAGCAAAATTGCCCCATTGGTGAATGTGATTAATGACACACCCTGTGGGTTTTGGGGAAACAGGGTCATGATTGGGGCTGTAAATTACGTGGGGTCAGAGTTGGTTTCACTTGGAATGTGCCAACATAAAGCTCCTAACAAATAACTGGGTTTCTTTTGACGCTCAGCTTGAGGCTCGTGATTTAATTAGGGCATCAGTCGGAACCCTGACAGCCTGCCTTACTACAGACTTTATCCCAACTCTCGTGGCTTCTGACGGGGACCCTCAAAGGAATCCAACCCTCTTGGCTTTTGTAGGACCTTAGCTTGATCTTGAAGGTTTTAGATGATTTCATTTGAAGACACGCAAGCTTACTAGGATGAGGGTTCCTGTTCAATCTCAGCTGTGGTGGCACAGTGGTTAGCATGCAGTATTGCAGGCTAAGTCTGGGAGTGGTGTGATGGCCTAGAGGTGGAGCTCTCACCCCACAATCAGGAGGCTGTGAGTTTGATCCTAGGTAGAGGCAGATATTTCTCTCTCTGGGCACACCGAGAATATGTCTGCTGAACAAAACTCCACACTGGCAACAGGGAAGGGCATCTGGCCATTAAATCACTCTGCTAGCTCCATTCAGTAGCCCAGACTCCACCCTGCAAGGGATTATATGGGGTGGTTAAAAGACTACGATTGCAGGCTAACTCTGCCCATAACTAGGAGTTTGATCCTGGCAAGTTCAAGGTTGACTCAGCCTTCTGCCCTTCTGAGGTCAGTAAAAGGAGGGCCCAGATTGTCAGGGGAAATATTTGTAAACCCAGAGAGTGCTGTAAAGCACTATGGAGTGGTATATAAGTGTAAGGAGAGACCCAACCTAGAACTCAAGAGAAATTTCCTAATGCTGAGCACAATCAAACAATGGTATAGCTTTCACTCAGAAGTTGTGGGTGCTCCATCGCTGGAGGCTTTCAAAAAGAGACCTGACAACCATTTGTCTGAAAGGTTCACCGACAAATGCATGCTCGACAAAACCGCGCTGACAAAACTGCACCGAGAAAAGAGCGAAGTCGAAATTGCGCCCACAGAAGCACGCTGATAAATGCATGCCGACGAAAGCGCGCTATCAACAAACCACGCGAAAACAAGGTAAAAACCCTAAGGGTTAGGTTTAGGGTTAGGGTTAGGGTTATTACCTTGTTTTCATGTGGTTTGTTGATAGCGCGCTTTCATCGGCACACATTTATCGGCGCGCTTCTGTGGGCGCAATTTCGACTTTGCTCTTTTCTCGGCGCGGTTTTGTCGGCGCGGTTTTGTTCTTTTTAATAAAATTTTTTAATTTTTAATTTAAAACAAATACAACATCTTTCCTTACATGCTATAGAAAGTGT